CCATGTATATATATATATATATATATATATTTGCTTTGTTGACTTATTTGCTTTTAAATAAAAATTTATGATATCAATTTCTGATATTTGCAGTTTTTTACAATAATCAAGAGGAATTTGATATTTTCATATATATCTATAAAACAGTTTTTACTAAAGTTGTTGAGAAAACAAGAAGCACAAAATTTAAAAATAAAAGAATTTTATGATATTTGTGATATATACATTAAGAAAATGAAACACATGTCAATATCATATGGTGATTCAAATGCTTCATTAAAGTTCATATAATAATGAACGCCTACTTTCCCCAACCTTTAATTAAAGAAACATGCCAATAAGGGCCCACGAATGTCATGATTGGGGGATACGCGTCGAAATATAAGCGGGGCAAAGAATCGAACCTTCGTCATCGAACCTGCAACACGTGTCCATTTTGTAATGCATTCTGCTTGCACCACGTGTTCTAATGGTGAGGTGCTGTTCTATGGGAGACACCGGATCTCATACAGCTGGTTACTACCAGACAACCAATAGCGGAGAGAACCAATGCCCAGAAAGCTCGCAAATCTTTCTTCCCTTTAAAATGTGAAAGCTTTCCACGTTATTCGCTATTCGGACTCTCGTCTTCCTTTTCCCTCGCTTGACTTTCAGTGTTTTATCGCCATCGCCAACTTTTTAGGGTTTTTGGAAGCAACGAGAAAGGACTTGTGATTTGGCTGATGCTACTCGTAAATGATCTTCGAGGATGGGAAACGGAAGTGTCGCATGGACTATGATTAGCAAGTGAATTTCTCCAACCTGACCCCATTTGTCTTCCGTGTTTCAGCACCTGATTTGTCCAATTCCTGCATTGTTTGCCTTCCATCGCTCTAATCGGAATCATTTTATATTGCTCAATGGTGTGCTCAGGTGTGTTCTGCGACCAATAGTCGATATATTCAGCTCAGAAGTGGCAATCGGGCGCCGAATGGTTTGGAGCTGAAAATTTGGTAATTTCCTCTATCTTCGAAGTATTATTTAATTTGTGATTGGTTCAATTAATTTTCGCTCTTTCTGTAGACATTGAGCTTGAAAGCCCTTTCACTGCACACTGACGTTTGAATCCATATGAGGATATTTTTTACTTTTTCTTGGTTTAGGCCTAACTTGATAAGGTTCTGACAAAGTTCTTAAGTTTACAATGTTGATTTTTCTCTATCAGGTTTTTCAAAATCTTTTTTATTTTTTCTTGCCAATACTAAGATTACTGTGAACACTTGATTCTAGTTGACAGACAATTTGTCGGTAAAATCTCTTATTTTACGGTCGCTCTTCCTTTTCTTCTCCGTCTTTGTTTTCTCTTTTGAATTTGTGACACTTTCTTTCAAGGCATAGCGCCTGCCATTTGTTTTCAATTTTAGCGACAAGTTGTGAGCGCTAAAATGGTCTGGTTACCGAAAACAAAAGAAGGAACTGAAGTACTATTCACGCTTTTCATGCTTCTTATGCGTCCTTTCTCTCTTATTGTATTTCCTTCTGTGTATTATTTGTTTCTGATTTATGGCTCATTCATGCAGAGCTGAAATTACTGTATGAAGGATCCAATTTCTTTCTGCTAATTAGAAGAGGTAAGTAATGTTTCAATTCAATGTTTTCTTACGCCCTTTTGAGTTTAAGGGATATTTAATTGGGTAAAAAATTAAATTTGTAGTAAAGTGGGCTGTTACTTTATATCCAAATTTTGCAAATCCCTAAGCACATGAGCTAGTATTGATACTTTATTGGTTGAAAATGATTATTATCATTAGTTTCTCTGCATACCTCATAACTGATTTTGTGGTTGAAATACAAACAGGTTGGATATGCTGCGTTTATTATGCTTTTCGTGATTATATCGGATATTTGATATATTTTGTGTCTGCTATTATTTTTGGGCATGCACATACATACCATTGAATTCCTATGAATTTACACATCTAACGACCTGAACTTTTCTTTTTTACATATGTACCACACGAATCTTTCCTATCACAAAAGAATACCACCATTTTTATTTCTAAAACGTAAAATACTCCATTCAATACATAGGGAAGGTGGTTATGTAAAAATTGAAGTTTAGGGTTTCTCAAATACCTGATTTCCCATTTGGGAGGTTGTTTGAAGTCATTGCCCCTCACTTCAGTTCTATCATGTACATTTTTTCAGTAATTTTGCCAAAAGGAGGTTCAGCATGGGTTGTTTTGCGTCAACTCTGAGTGATGGTGGTGGAAACCGGAGAAGATTAAAGAGTATAGGAGAATTGGCCATTTTTGTGCCGGGATTTCGCATTCCAATTGCTATAGATTTTACTCAGCCACTGGGTGATAGCTTGCCAAAAAGTTTAGTGAACCGTCTCTCAGCCCTAAGAACTCGGATAGTTTCCATGGCTATGCATGAGGCAGCAACTGCAACGAAGTTAAAACAGAAGAAAATTACACGAAATGGTTTGTCTTGGCATAGTCCTTATATTTTAACCAGTTATTTAATTAAGTGATGGAAATCTGAATCAAATTGCTATAATTTCAGGAACTTCTACATTTTCAGATCTTCTTCAAGCCCTTGAAGATTACCTTCCTGTTCTGCTGGGATTGACAAAAGATGGTTTTGACTCTTTTCCATTTTTATGTTTCACTGGGACATGTTATCAATACCACAGGCTTTTTCCAGTTTTCTAAGGATTAAAATCTTCTTTATTGTTATACGAGTTTGGTGATCTGTATTTTGCAGGAAGACTGAAAGTTAAAGTTAAGTTTGCGTGGATCAACCAGGAAGACGATGATGAGGTTAGATTAGTTGTTAGAAACATGTCATTGACAATAAGATGTTTTCTTGCATTACGAAGATAGATTTGAGTGTCGTTTCTGAATTTTCTTTGCAGCAAACTGCCATTGCTAATGTCTGGTACGAGGTACTATCAGTCCTGCATTTGATGGCAATGCTTTGTTTAGCAGAGGCCAATTATTTGCTCCTTCCTAGAAAATCTAATGATGGATACCAGCAGCAGGTGTCTGAAGGTAGATTATAGATAGCTTTCTCAGAAACTGATGCTGCATCATTAAAACCAGTCTTGATTCATTAATGCTGTTTTGCTATATTGTTTCTTGCTCTCCACTCCTTTTTATTATAAACATAACTTTATTTATCTGTGATTATTTACCTAACTGAGTATTTTTTGGCCAAATTTTGTAATTACTGGGCCAGTTCACAAAAATTTTGTAATTTGTGAGCCAAAAATGTTGCAGAGAATAGGCGGAGATCCATTGATGTCCTTTTGAAGGCAGCGGGATATTTAGATTGTTCCATCCATCAGGTTCTTCCTCAAATACCCCTTGAATTGAGGTATGCATCATCTTTTTCCGTTGACCTATATTTTCTTTAGTTTCTTTTTATTTTATTTATTTATTTTTTTGAATAGAAAGCTTTGAAATAGATTACCTTATTCAGAGAGATATGTTTATTAAGGATAGCTTATATAGACCAATGATTCCATTCCGTTAATCCATTCTCAAGATAGCTTCATTATTCTTTTATATGTTGACAAATTGCAGGAGAAACCTTCCAGTTGACTTATCTGAAGAGGAGTTGAATGCTTTGTGCATGCAAGCGTTGGGTCAGGTATCAGTGTTTTTGTTTTACGTGCTTAAGAAAGCTTTTTTATGTCATTTATAAGTTCATGCCAATAATGTCATCAACATCCATAACTAGTCATTAACCTGGGAAAGTCCTTGTTAGCTAATGGGATCAAATGATTGCAGGTTTTTCCTAAGAGAATAACTTTATGTGTTATACCTTATTTTCTTAAAGATGGAGGCTCTGTCAGTTGTTAAATATTTTTTTCGGATTGTAAGGTTTATATGGGTTAATGTGAAAGCGACTAGGGTCTTTCAACTCTGATGCACTATTTAAGTGGTCTGTATTAAAATTCAATCCTTAATACTAGTTCTATTGATATGTTTCATTGTTGATAAAGGATTTCCTAGGGCCAATATTCCAATTACCAAGGCAGCAGCTTATCCATAGATATTTGTTTCAATTTATGCGACAGATTTTACAGCTCAATTCTGTAAAAATTCAATAGTTTGAATAAAATTTACAGGTTTAAATTATTGCCATGTAGATTTTATGAGCAATTTGTGTCTTCCCCCGCGCGCATCTTTTGATGCAATCTAAATCATTTTAATAACGTTTTTGATGCAAGTCTCTATGTATTGTCCCAAGAAATTTTATGAAATGTCTTGAACAATTTTGAATCTGAGTATGAAACAAAGTTAAGAGGCACCCATCATCTCCATATCGTTTTCTGTCATTAAAATATAATTAGAGTTGTTAATGACAATACTGTTAGAAACGGTGGTTCCTGGTCCACTATGCTTGGGTGGTTACTTTGCTTTGGAGTCACACCTCTTCACAAATAACCACTCTCGTCTTCCTCTTTTGTGAAGTGAAGCATCTCTTTGCTCTCCTGTTCGTGATAAATACTTCAGATGACTCTTCTTCAGATATAGAAGTCACGCTTTGAGTTCTTCTATTTCCTCGGGATAGAGGAAGGTTTCCTCGGAGCAGAGGAAGAGAAGTGCAAGGAGGAGCAGTTCCTTGTGGCAGAAGGAAGAAGGAAGAAGAAGAAGATTATTCTCCCCAGGCTTCTTCTTGGTGGCTTGTGGCAGAAAAGAAATTGAGTTTATTTCTTTTGTAAGTTTGTCTTCTTCGGTGTATCTCAGTGTAGAGTTTCTTTGGTGTATCTCGGTGTAGAGAACAGAGAGAGAAGAAGAGAGAGAGCAACAAAGAGTGAGAGATTCCTCTTGTAAGTTGAGGTGAACGACTAGAGTAAATTTCTCATGTAGTAAAATCCTCTACAACTCCATGGAAGTAAGGAATTTGCAGAATCACGTAAATCTGTGTGTTTCGCTGTGTGTGTTCTTTTCTGGTGAGAATTTTTCTCGTTCTATTTTTCACTTCGTCGATCGTTCTCCTGTTTGATTTATATATGTATACCACATCAACTGGTGTTTATTTAGATCTCGCAACAACAACTGGTATCAGAGCATGGTTTAGATTTGAGGAAGAATGATTGCTTCAGATGAAGTGAAGGTTTCAGGGATCGAGAAGTTTGATGACACAGATTTGGTTATTGGAGAATGCAGATAGAGGATTATTTTTATGGGAAAAAACTTCATCTTCCGTTTTTGGGGAAAAAATTCGAAAGGATGAATGAGGCTGAATGAAATTTGTTGGATCGACAAGTTCTGGGGTTATTCGGTTGATCTTATCGAGATCTGTTGCACACATCGTCGTCAAGGAAAAGACAATTGTAGATCTCATGGCAGCCTTATCAGGTATATATGAAAAGTCATCGGTGAATAACAATGTGTACTTGATGAAGAAGTTATTCAACTTGAAAATATCGGAAGGTGTTTTTGTTGCTTGTATTTTTGTTGCTCAACACCTGAATGATTTTAATACTATCACAAATCAATTGTCGTTTGTTGAAATTGATTTTGATGATGAGATACTGATGAGATATGTGCACTAATCTTGTTGGCATCATTGCCAGATAGTTGGGAAGCCATGAGGATAATAGTTAGCAGTTCTGTAGGTAAATCTAAATTGAAATACGATGATATTCGTGATTTGATTTTGGCTGAGGAAGTTCGTAGGAAAGATTCTGATGAGGTCTCAGGTTCGAGTTCGACATTGAATGTTGATTTCAGAGGGAGATGACATGACAAAAACTCAAGTATAGGGAGATCAAAAATCAAAGTTTAGTAAGCAGACAACCTGTTGGAATTGTGGCAAGGCTGACCATATAAGGAGGAACTGCAGGAATCCTAAGAAGATGCAGAATGATTGCACAAATATGTTATCTGAAGAATCACTTGATGCACTATTGTTGGCAGTTCATAGTTCTGTTGAAGACTTGATATTGGATTCAGGGGCTTTGAATGTGCTAGGAAATCTACCATAGGCCACAGTGCAGAGCAGTGATGGAAGTGAAGAGGAAAGTTGGTCCAGGGAGTCCGTGGCACCCATTTCTATTGTTCCATAGATAGATGTTGAAGAACCACAGAGCTATGAAGAAATTTTGCAAGATGAAAGTTCGAGCAAGTGGGAGCTGTTGGATCTGAGAGAACATCCACTAGGGAAGAAGGCATTGCACAACAAGTGAGTGTACCAGGTGAAGATTGAACGTGATGTCAGTAAGAGGTACAAGGCTAGACTTGTTGAAAAAGACTTTCAGCAGAGGCAGAATATTGCCCATGCAGTGGTAGTTGTAAGAAGAGACAAGAGTGACCCAGAAAATAGCTTGGAGGTGCAAAATTATGTGGAGCCTGCTGATATGTTGCTCTTGAGAAACTGAAGTTGCGTACAGCTTCAACTGGTCTTCTGGAGTGAAGACAGAGACTTTGAGTTGTAGAGGTGGAGGATTCATAGTGGAGGATTCATGTTGAAGGAAAAAAAGTGACACCGTCAGTGGAGGATATAGTTCGAGGAATAAGATATTGCAGCCTGTATATCGGTCTCCAAGTGGGAGAATTGTTAGAAACGGTGGAGCCCGGTCCACTATGCTTGGGTGGTTACTTTGCTTTGGAGAGTCACACCTCTTCACAAATAACCACTCATGCGTTCCTCTTTTGTGAGGTGAAGTATCTCTTCGCTCCCTCTTGTTCGTGATAAAAGCTTCGGACGACTCTCTTTCAGATATAGAAGTCACGCTTTGAGTTCTTCTTCGGTTTCCTTGGGATAGAAGAAGGTTTTCTCGGGGCAGAGGAAGAAAAGTGCAAGGAGCAGTTCCTTGCGGCGGAAGGTAGAAGAACAAAGAAGAAAAAGATTGTTCTCTCTAGGCTTCTTTTTGGTGGCTTGTGACAGAAGAGAAACTAGATTTATTTCTCTTGTAAGTTTGTCTTCTTCGGTGTATCTCGGTGTAGAATTTCTTCAGTGTATCTCGATGTAGAGAGAGAAGACGAGGGAGAGCAACGAAGAGTGAGAGATTCCTCTTGTAAGTCGAGGTGATCGACTAATGTAAATTTCTCAAGTAGTAAAATCCTCTGTAACTCCATGGACGTAGGCAATTTGCCGAACCACGTAAATCTGTGTGTTTCGCTGTGTGTGTTCTTTTCTGGTGTAAATTTTTCTCGTTCTATTTTTCACTTCGTCGATCGGTCTCTTGTTTGATTTATATATATATACCACACCAACTAGTGTATATTTAGATCTCGCAACAACAACAAATACAACGACTTTATTTAGATTATCTGGCATGCACTCTATTACACACTTCCATCATTTTAAAACTCGATTAACTAGCATTATTTTAAAACTAGAGGAGATAATGGCCTGATGAAATATGAGATTGGATTGCTTAAGCATTTGTTTCAACCTATAAATAAAATATTTTAGCTTTCACACATTGCGTTGATTTGCCATGGAAAACCAAATTTTTAGCTGACTGCTGTTGAATATTTTTTTTTTCCATTAATTTTAACGAACAGTTTCTTTCACCGTAAAGCAGGGTAGAATTGTATGTGAATTTGGAAAATTTCATCTTGGATTGTGAATATATTTCACCTAAAAACTGTTTCCCGATGTAGAGCATGTTTTACATTATTGCCCACATTCCATTAATTTTGAGAGGTAATGAAATTGGTTGTTTCATACTACTTGACCTAGTATTCTTTATTGTTCATTTAGGGGGTCGACATTCAACTGGAGATGGCAATTGATAGTCCCAAAGCAACACTTGCCGTAAAAAGAAGGCTTGCTTGTGAAATGGTCAAGTATTTTAATCAGGTACTGCTATAAATTCATTTTTGCCTGTTTGATGATGTCATTTTCTTTCTTCTGTTAAGTGTAGATTGATTCCTATTTTCCATAACTAAATTATTGGTGAACGTCAATGTAAACTTCAACTATTTTCTTCAAGCACTCTTCCTCATATGTCTTGATATGTCTGATCCTAATTTGGTATATTTTCTTTCCATTAAATTTTCTTGATGATACTTGCAAGCGTTTTTTGTTGGTTCCTATTTTGAGAAGTAATTATATTAGGGAATTAAATACCATTCGAGAAAAGTAAAGTATCATTCGAGAAAATGCTTAATTGTAATTTGACCCTTTTTACAGGTACATTAAAAACTCATTGTATCTTTTATGACTGCGGCTTAAATATGTACTCTTAGTCCTTGGTAGTAGTGTCTCGTGATGTTGTCCAACAACTTTTTTAAGATAGTTGGAAAGGCCGACATTATTCATGTGCTCCCTTATAGGGGCTAACGCCAAGAGGCAACCAAATTTTTCTGGTGATTTGGACTTGTAAATAATTTAAAATTTTGAAATTTTTAAACTTGTAAAATAATAATGTGAATCATCCAAGTTTTCAAATAATTTGGAAATTTCAACTTGCAAAATTTAAACTCCTTATATCTTAAAGAAAATTTGGAATTTTTGTTTACTAGGGTTAAAAATTAATTCACATATGAGGAGTTCAATATTTACAAATCTCGCCACCCAATTCGCAATTCTAACCTATAAGTGAACATAAGATAGTTTTCAAAAGATTAAAGTGAACATATATAGCATAAATGTAATATGTTCAGATGAGAAAATTTATATAAATTCAAGTTTTACATGTCATTTAAAGCAATATTTAATTTAATTCATGTTTTAAAATCATATAAATTGCCTTAAGAAACAAAATACTTCAGCTAAAAAAGCTAAAATACATGAGAGTTATAACCTACAGGTGCTCCACTAAAATGAGCTACTTTTTTTAAATGGAACATTCTAAGAATCATGCGAGGCTTAAAATAAAGTCTTTCAACTTAGGTCGCTCTTATTTTTGAAGACTGTGCAAAATTTCTTTTCAAAGAGTCTATGCCTATTTTAAAATTATAAAGTATTTAACTCAAGATAATTATGTTATGTAAGCTCTCAATCGAGTTGCCTTGTTTATAGGATAAGGTTGTAAGTCTTACCCAACTATTAGGTTTGTAATTCAAAGGAGAATCTCACACTTGCAAGAAAACTCTACACTCTAATTTTGATTTTTTTGAAAACTAGGAATATGACACCTTTAAAATTCAAAGATTTTTGACACTTCTAAACCTAGATTTAATAAACTAGAATATCATTTTTTTAAATTAATTCATTTTCTGTGATATCAATTCACATATTCTTATTGTACACTACTTGATTAACACGTATAATTGGGTGATTTACACCTATGTTACTACATATTGGATAATTATTCTATTTGGATAGTTTTTGAAATGATGTGTGTTTTAAAGTTGTCTGGAATAAATGTGAGCATATATTTTATATTGTAGTTGATTCAGACACAACAAGATAATGACTTTGATACGGTGTTATATTGATTCCAGAAGCTCGTCTTGGGAAGAAGATGAACTTTTTCCTAGGGAGAATTACACGTGATCCCGTCTACGCGGTGTTCCGCAATCCGTAGGTTTGGTGGGATAACGAGAATCCCATGGTCGAGGGATTTGGAATACGACATCGATTCCCAATTTAGCTTTTTTTTTCACTTTTACAATTATTTCTTATTTCTCTATTTCTAATTTGGTTATTTTCTATAAATGGACTATTTATACTTTGTATTTTTTAAATTTTTTTAGACTTTTTGACTCATTTTGAGTTTAGAGAGATTGCAATCTTCGTTTTCTACTTTAAGGAGTGTTGTATCATTTTCTTTTGTAGGTGGTGTGCATATATTTTGCTCAGGAACATGTGGTGAAACTTCCTCTCCTCCTGAACATCACCGATTTCGAGTTTTCTTTGCTATGTTCAACAGGGACAGCCGTCGACAACGTCAAACTTGCTATCCAACAACAAATTTATCCCTGCAATCCCCTCAAACGCCATTAACCTCATATTTACTTTTCTCATGCTATTCCACAACCAGTCCCTTCTAAGTCCCATTTCAAAATACTTTTGATAGAGTTATAGAACGGTATCATTTGGTATCAGAGCCCAGCAAACCTTAGATTTTTAGGCTTTTATTTTTTTTCCCAAATCTAAAATTAAAAAAAATCTTCACCTAAATCTTTTGTACCGCTATTCCTAGCTCCAACTCTAAATTTTCAAAATCTAATTTTTCTACCTCCACCAAAATTTTAATTTGACAACTACCACCAAAATCTAAGCCTCCAACCAACCTTGATTTGCAATTCTATATCAGTTAAAAATTAATCGGGAGGAAAGGATGCCATGTCGCCAATGAGGAACCCTTTGAGAGATGTACAAGAACTTACTATGAAGGATATGTAGCGAGAAATCTACCAATTGCAACGAAAGTTTGTCACCTTTGTGAGTAGACATTCTAGTTAGGTCATCCATATTAATAACAGTGACTCGCCAGTCACCAGACAGTTTTTAGTGACGAAGAACCACTACTTTGACACTTCAACATGAAATATCAGAGAAGAAACCAGAATCTTCGATAAAGTTGAATTTATTAGACAATTGCATTAATTCGGATGAGTTCATCGAGTGACTTCAAATAATGAAGCTAGTTCTTTAGTATAAGAATATTTCTTGGGATAAAAAAGTTAAATTACCAACCATCAAGTTTAGAAAAAAATGTTTCATTGTGGTGGGAGAACCTGAAGCATATTCGACATCAAGAAGAGAAGAGTAAGATCACCACGTGATCTTAAGATGAAAAGGGATATGCAGTGCAAATACCCTCCCCCATATTATTGAAGAAACTTATTCATAAAGCTCCACAACCTGCACCAAACAAATACTTTTGTGGAGTACACAACTGACTTCAATAAACTCAAGATGAAATGTGAATTGGTGGAACCAGACGAGCATATAATGACAATGTCTATGAAGATTGAGGTCATCTATCACTGATGTGATTTAGTTTCAGCTTTATTGGTCCCTTTTTGATGATCATAATGTAGCACTAAAAGTGGAGAAATAACAATGTTACCAGATGGCTGCCACAACTTTCAGGTAGAGTTCAATCATAGATCAAGCAACATAAGTATCCGCAGTGGAGGACATAGAGAGAGAAGATTAGGAAGAGTATTAGCTTGTAACCGACGAGGGAAAAATGCTAGTGATTCAAGCTAAGCCCATGATAGATACTTCAACAAGACTAACATTAGTTTTTTTTAGAAGGCAGTGAGCTTGAGATAATGGGCTTTTAAATAGAGTTTGAGAATGTAATGCAACAAGCTAACCTTTTTGTAGGCATTAGGCAGCATGATTGACTACCATGAGAGACTTTCTTTTGAGGATGATGCCAACAAGTGCACTGTGCTTCGGCGGTGCAACACACTTATTGGGAGTCTTTTGTTGGCATCATTTTTTTATATCACAAGTGTAGGGTGTGGTCCGTAGCATCCGATAGCTCAAGGCACCCACCCGGGTTTATGAGTTTGAGGATTCGATACAACACACAGGGCAACCCCATATAAGAGAATTTCAGGATTTCCAGACAAAGTTTACCTCCTAAGTTACCTGAGGGAGGGATACATGTCAGAGATGAAAAGCTTTTATGTTATTTTTGGAAGGTTATATCGAGTAATTTGGGTATTAAATTCAGTTTAACATTGTGTCCCAGATCGATGGTCATATAAGATTGATGAACCATTAGCTTTTGATATCTCTTTAGGTATTTTATGGGAAATAGCATCCGACAGTGGAATGCAGGTCCTCCAGAAAAGAAAGTAGACATCTACTTGGTGAGGAGAATGAAGCGAGTTCTCCTGATCCTGGACTTCTGCTATCTGAGATCGCAAAATCTCAGGGACTCGCAGAATCCCGCAATCCAGGACTATAATATCACAACATTCCGATCGCGAGAAGGGGAACCTTTTCTTTTTCTTTCTTATCTATTTCTAATTATGTTTTTTTTTCTTTGTGAGAATTATTCATATCTTGTTATTTTCTGCTTTTTGAAGTCTTTTGTTCTATTCGAGTTTTATGGAGATTGTGATCTCTGATTTCCTCCTTTATGAGTGTTCTATCATTTTCATTTTACAAGTGGTGTGTTTGTACCTTGCTCAGGAATAGGTGGAGAACCTTCTTCCTGCCCGTACCTCATCATTTTGGGTGTTCTTCTCACTGTTTCAACCAGGATTAGCCATTGGTCGACGTTAATCCCACTCCAAACGCCATAAAACTCATATTATCATTCCCTTGCTGCTCCACGACCACCTCCCTGCTAAATTTCGTACCTAAAACCTTTTAGGAGCTCTAGAATGGTATCAATTGGTTTGATATCTAAGCAAATAATGGAGGGTTTTCTTATTACTTCCTGTCTAATGTTTTTCACGAGCAGGTTGGGTCACTTCAGCTAGAATTGATTTAAACTCTGCTAGTATTTATTCCTGTATTCATTACTTGTCACTATGAGATATATAAAAATTGTCAAATTATCAGTAGGATATTTTTAGTGATGCTCATTATTTTGCACCTTAGCTTGCATGTCCGCGGCTTGTGGACCACCTAAGTATATTGCTCCACACGCTAGGTAGGGCCATTTACATAAACATTCATATTCACATGCATACCACTCAAATGTTTAACATCGCATAAAAAATGCTACTATTGCCATCTTTTTAAAAATGAAATGTACATATTCATGCATAGGTTTCTGACACCAAGGTGTTATAACTGTAAATATTAGACTTTGGGGGATTAGATAAGTAAAAACATAAGAAATGTGTTGTATGTAAATTTCCCTAGATCTAAAGCATCGCTGCTGCAGCTGTGCACTTCTACATCTAACTCCGTTAAAACATAACTTCATAGACCGTTCTCATCTCACGGAACAACTAGTTTTGCTGCGTTTTGTAGATTTATTTTATTGAATTGAAATTCTAGACCTTTCAGATTTTCCATTCCTAACCTACTGTATGACATAATTTTCAACTCAATTTTCTATATTTTTTACTACTTTGCTTGTCGTATGTGCTAAATTAGGCTCTCAGAAAAACTTGGTTGGATATCATCCACGCATAAAGGCAATTATTATCTAACATTCTAAATAGCTTTTTTGCATATATAGGCCCAGGATAGCATTTTAAAGATTCAATTCAGCGGTGGATGGGGAGAAAAGCATCGGTTATTTCTCAAGTGGAAATATGCTGAAGCAAAGGTATATATTATATTATAATGTTCATTTTAGATCTCAATGCTTTTTTATCATTCATCATATGAAAGTTAGGAAAAAATGTTCTTACAATTGTTCAGAAATCTTTAAGCTAAAAATAAGAAGGCAAATGTACATACATACCACACAATTCTTATGTATTCATGCATCTAACACCTCACTATTCCTATTCACATACATGCGATTGAATTCTTTAAGATCACATCACAAATGCATCATCATTATCCTTTTAAAAGAGAATCACATATTTCATGCATAAGTTTATATGAGTAAGATGTTATGGGTGTAAATATCAAGCATTAGGTAGACTAAGATGTTATAGGTGTAAATAGCAAGCATTAGGTGTTAGATACGTAAGTATATAAGAATTATGCGGTATGCATGTAAAGTCTCCTAAAAAGAAATGTGGATGTCATTAATCTTCTGTGCAGAAATGCACAAAAGAGCAGGTAGCATGAGAACATAGCATTTCAATTGAAGATTGCCTCATTGCCCTAGGGGTAGATAACCCTATTAAAAAAGAACAAAGAATAATAATTAACAACGCTATTTTAATAAACAAAGTTTTAACTTCAATGCTATAATTGATTTATACTTCCCAAGGGGAATTTCAGTATGCATTATCTTTTCCTGCAATCCTATTCCTGCCCTTCGGAATAGAATTGATATCTCATAATGCACATCTTGTTTTTCCCCCTGTTTATAGGCGGCTGCCTATTATTATCATGCTATGATCCTTGATGAGGGGAACTCAGAGGAATCCCATGGTATGGCTGTGGCTGCACTGCGAGCTGCGGAAGAGTTTTTGAAAGAAAGTAAGAGGGCATGTGAAGTCTTCAATGTAGCTCCTCCCACTTCAAGGTATATTCTCTCTATTTTATTCTAACTAGAGTTCTTTTTTTTTTCTCTCACCACCTAGATTATTATCATTTTTTTCTATCATCTAATCTTAAAATAATTTTTTTTAGATTTACTGTCTCTTTTCTTTTTTTTATTAGTATTTCCTTTCTTTGTTATGAAAACAATAGCTTTTATGGAAATAAATTAATCCTTAAGAATGATGTGCTTCACGGCTAATTTATTTTAGCTAGCAGATATTATTTCTCATTTTGTTTGTCAATACACGTGCAGCTACCCAAGTCTATCTTATATGTTCAATTGATTGCTATTGTCTATAATTGCCCAACTCTAGATATTCTGGAAAGTTGACAAACATATTTTCTCAGGCTTTTTATTCTTATTATGGTGAATATGTCACACGAAGTGCCTTGGTAAACAATAAACAAACACCTTGCTGCACTTATTATCTCTTGTTTGGTTCCATGCCTAGCCTGTTTAAAATCTCAGATAATACCTTTCCTCACTTTAACCCTAATTGAGAAAATTAATATTGTTTAAAAATCTCTGCAGAAACCCACCTCCTTGGGGTTCTATGAAGTATCTCTCTTATAAAATTACTAAGGATGCCTCCAGTAAAGCTCACGCCAACCAGGTTGTCTACTCTCAGGAAAGGTAACGTATTCTTCAGATATATATTCTTTACACTGGACCTATTCTTGTTTTAAAAACCACTATTCATGTGACTTTGAATCCAATATTCTTTGGTACTCTGATTTATAGTATTTTACCGTGTTAACATGACTTGGTTTTTATGACTGCGTATGCTAAAAATTCCAGATGTTAAAATACTTTCCTTTGCTATCACTTAAAGGCCTTTCTTATGGTAAAATCATTAATTTAGTCTGATTAGTGTCTGAGATTAAGAAAATAGAAATGCAGGCGCTATACTGATTTTTCAGAGTTATATTATTCTATTTCTGGATCTCTTCATTCTTCTTCCTGTAGATAATTTCATGTTCCTTCTCATTCTTGTTCATCTCTCATACTCGCATATTTTTTATGAGCTAACTCTATGATTTTGTATTTTATTGTTGTGAATCACAACTAATTCAATAACTTAACAGAAGGGAAAAAACTTTACATATTGACCCAATAAAAGGGATCGCCTCATCATCCCTTTGCCTCTTTGTCTTGCTAAACTTGCTCTACCAGCTTTTTTTTTTTTATATTACCATCTTCAACTCCTAAAATAATTGTGATGGTATTTCGATCTAAACTTAAGTTTGACATAGATGGTGAGATGAATTAAATATTCTAGGGGTTTTTACATACCAACCACCCAAAACATTTATTTTTTGCCTTGTTTTTTTTTTTGTTTATTTTTCTTTTCCTAGGATAGGTTGTGAATTGGGACGTTGAATAGTTTATTGAATGAAATTTATGTTTTAGATCTCTCTGTCTCCCTTCCTTTCTGTTTTCTAGCATCTTTGTCTATTCTTTTATATTTTCTCATGAAATGCCTAAATTAGCACCCTTACTATCCTGATGTAGCCAATTTAGTCCCAGAGTATCACATTTCTTCAGTTTAGTTTCTTAATTGTACAAAATTGATCTCAAGTTGTCCTGCAAAGACTAAATTGAATCAATTTTTATAGTCGATGGATTAAATTGGATCAATTTTGTAACCCAGTTTCTTTCAATTTTTATCTGACGGACCATCTGGAATCAATTTTGCATGGGGGAGAGACTAGATTGGAGAAATGTGATATTCTAGACTAGTGTCACATATAAATACTCGGGCGACTTTTTGTCTTTTTCTAGTATTTCCTCCATTACATTTTTGTCTCCATAACATATTGTTGTCTCTATTCTTCACTTTTCTTTCCCCTGGTTGTCTAGGAGTTTAGGGTCTTCTGTCTCATACTCCAAACCTGTTTAAATATGGGCTCCTTAAAAAAAAAAAAAAAAAACTTTTTAAATTCCCTCAGTGATTATTTAAATTCCGTACATGTTATCCACAGCAACGGCCAACATCTACTTGTCCTTAACAGGATCTTACAGGATGCTCCTGCTTTGCCAGATTTTGCATTAGCTCTTAACCCAGAAGAATACCAGCTTCCTCCATTGGATCCCATCTGGAATACAGTGACCAGCACTACTGAGGATTTGAACAGAAATAAATTAACACCTACTTCCCCACTCCCTGAGATGCAGTTTCCAGCAACTGAGAGGAAATGAGTTTTCAATTAAAAGGTTCCTTTGCATAATGTGCTTTCAATGCTCCTCTTGACTGCTTTTATACAGTTTTTCTTCCTTTTTTCCCCCTTATTTTCTAGCAAAGAATCTCCCGAAGTATCCGTTGGGAGATTTCCATTTTGGCATTTGGTGATGTATTTATAAATAAATTATAATTTATGTCATTGCACATTATGTACACATTATGTATGGGTCAGTGATATCAGGCAGATTAGCATTCCTTGATGTTATTAGGCTTAGTTTTTATGTTATCCTCTGTAATGTTCTTCAGTTTGTCTTGACAGATGTGAATGGAATTTTTTTTATTTATTTTTGTATATTAAGAAAACAGCTTTGCTCAGATTTATAATCTGCCATTATGGATATTATTTATGCCAAAGTATTGTAAAAGATATAAATAAGATTAAAATTGTATGAGTTTTTTTTTATTTGTTTTTTTCTCAATTTGCATGCTCTTATTATATTCATGTAAGGATCATGAAATATGTGTGGAAGATTTACATAAAAAACCATTTAATTCTTATGTTTTTACATGTCTTACTCCTAAACTTGATTTTTTTAATGTATGCCACATTATCTATATATGGATGGTGTATTTCACCTTTTAAAAGTTAAAATTGTGCTATTTTTGGGGTGATTAAATATGTGGGTGGTATAAATGTAAAAAATGAAGTTCACGTGTTGGGTGTGTAAATTCGCTTGAATTGGATTGTATGTATGTAAATGCCCCTATATATTTTTGACAATGATAAAAGGCTTGATGTGTTTGTTTGAGAAAAATTTATTGTATCACGAGTCTTGATATAGTTTTGCATCAGAACTTCATTCTCTCTGTCTCTACTTTTTCTTTCATGGTCGACTGTTATTTCTGGTCTTTTGTGCTATATCGATCATCTTTGACTTTAACCAGAGGATTAGAAGCTAAAATGTCCTCCAAGATTTATACTCACTCTCTCTGCTCTCTTAAACCTTCATGGCTTAAACCTCAAGCGCTTTCTCTCAATCTTCTCTCTTCCTTTACCACATGGAAAATCCAACATTTCTCTTCCTTCCCTCTTTTCAACCTAAACCCTAATCCCAAGTTTCTCTCTTCTCTCTAGTGGCCTAGACCTTCCTTAATTGTAGCATTTGTGATAGCATGCAAGAAAATGGCTTCCTACCTCACAGATGTAACCTCTTCCAACATCCCCCCTCTCGTCATACTTTTGACTAGGGCATTTTGTTCTCTTTAAATGACCTCTCAAATGGTGTCAAGGCTTGGGAGAAGACTTTCAATCCCTCATTGTATTGGAATTCACTTCTTGAGTTATTGCTCTTTACAATTAGAAAAGGGAAATTTACAAACATGCCACAATTCTCAAATGTTTACATATCTAACACCCAAAATTTTATATTTATACTCATGATATTTTTGTGTCATAAACCTATGCATAAAAATGTATTTTCGGATTTTAAAAATATTTGATTGTGATATTTTTTGATGTGATGTACATGTAAATATGAATGTGTGGGTGCTAACATATGTAAATAAATAAATATTGTATTGTATGCATGTAAATGCCCCCTAAAAAAATTGAAGTTTAATGCTACTATTGTGCTTCTTACTCTCTTTCATTGTTTTTCTCTCTGTTCGAATCGTTTTATTGAGCATATGAATGCTTCTTCAGTAGAAGCCTTTGATTTGTTAATGAAAGGCTTTTTCATTTAGGATTTGTTTTTTATCCAGAGGTGTTTGAATGAAGAATATTTCTTCAATTGATGATAGGATAAATTTTCTTGAATCTCTTCTTTATTGTTGAAATTCATATATTATCTTAATGATTATTGATAAAATTAGGATATTGCTTATTATAGCTAACCTATTTGAAACAAAATTCAGACATACATTTGTGAAGATGGGTATTCAAACGTTTTAACTCTCCTTCACCTAAGGATATCCTTTACAACCTTATAAGCATACATTAGCCTTGCTAATGAGCTTCAATGGATGATGTAGCTCATCCCATTCCTCAAACCTAACACTATAATGCTGATAAAGGGCAAAAATAATGGAGGGGTGTCCTAACCCTAAAGTAGTTCCTCCTTTCATAGAATTGACAATCAAGTGGTAAATAAGTGAGCAAATGTCTATGATTTTCATAGTTTTAATACAATAATTTAGAGCACCTCTTTCACACGTCACCTAACTAAGATTGGTGGAAGGGAGAATCTTAGTGGAGATGTAATAATGCCAAGCCTTGGACGGTGCATTAAGTTTAGATGAAGAAAAATTGACCTTGTGGTCATTTCCCACCTTCCAAGTTCCTTCTATGTTATTTAAAAACTTAATAATCTCATCAAGCTCAATATCAGTCGAAGCTGGAGTAGAAAATCCTAGGAATATCTCCCAATGAAAATAATACATTAATGCTTGATGGGGAGATTTCTACATGCTTCTCCATAACGAAAACTAAATCATCTGAGGCATTAGGGAGTTAGCGTAGAACTCCCTAACCACATAAATCACAGCTGCAACTGTAATGTAGCAAAGTGCCTCCTAATGACGAGCCACAATCATACATTCTATAGAACCTCTAGAGCTAATGAAACATCATTCTGCAATTAGTTTCTTTAATACTTAGAATTCGTTATAGCACTTCTAAGCTTTGGAGCTAACAATATTCTTCCTATTAAGAAAATTTTTGTCTTTGCTTCCCTTGGTTTTGGGTGCCATAAGAAAGATAGGTTATGAAAATTTTCAATGAGATGCGATCAAATGATTGATGTATATGACTCAACATGCTTGTTAAGAGCTTAATCAAACTCTCCCTAGGAAATTCCTCTTCTTCTTTTCAGATTTCCCAAAAACCTGAAAGTTTTCTGGATGAAGAACTCAAATGCATGATCGATAAATGGAAATTTACCTTAGAGAGGTGATTTTCATTCTCCAAAGCTTCTAGAATCAGCACAAATGCAAGGTGAAAGGAAGCCCTAAGTATCACCTCTAAATTGATAGAGAAGAGTTGGGGAGGAGCTCGTATGAAAATGAACTAAACTGGGGCGGTTTAGCCAATTTTGTCGAATAGGAAGGAGTTGCACCTAGGCATCGAAAAGGTAGGGCCAAGGCTCTTGGACGCAACGCCTTGGAGCTGGTTTATTAGTGCCTAGGTGCTGGTACACTTCCTGACACTTTGATGCCAGGGTACTGGGGCCTATGTGCACAACCCAAATTTGATCCCGATCATTTAAATTGAATATTCAGAACAACCCCAAGTCCTTCTTCACACCAATAAACATAAAAAACACTAAAGATAAATGGGAATCACTCATTCTCCTTCTCATCACATCTCCCTTCTCCACTTCCTCATCTTCAACAAAATTTCTTTTCATTAAACTATCAAATGTTATAGATATTTTTGTAGGGTTAATCAATTGGATAAGATTATTCTTGATCAATTTGCTTATGTGTTACCAACCTTAGGTGTTTTCTTGTCCTTTAAGGTATACACCACTGATAGTTCAAATGAAAGGATCATCCACATTCTCCTCTAATGGTTGGTTTATTTAACCACCAAGATGGAAGATCAAGGTCAAAATTAGGAAGTAAGGAATTGAGATGGACTAGTCCTATGCCCAAACTCTACATGTCTCCGGTATATCTTTAAATTCAATTGAGAGCCAAGATGTAGAGTACATGGTGATCCTACTACTCCTAGAGAACATACATATGTCTAGTCACAATGAGAAGACTAAGGAAACACATCCCTAAAATCAAACTGAAATCAAAGCAATCCACTCTCAAACCTAAACATCAACACACAAATACAAACAATACACCACAACAAATAACAAACAACAGACTAAAAATAAAAATAAACTTGGGTGGTCTCTCAAGAAATGCTTTGTTTAACATCATCATCCTGATGAATCTAATAACTACTCAGGTAGACCTAACATTAATACCTCATCAATTATAGGTCTTTCACCTCCAAGGTAGGCTTTATGTTTTTGTCCATTTACTTTGAATACCCTACCACTTTTAGGATCTTTAATATCTATAACACCAAAATGATAACTTTTAACTACAGTAAAGGGCCCTGAACACATGAACTTAAGTTTTCCATTAAATGATTTTATTTTTTTATTGTATGGCAAAACCTCCTATCTAAGCTCAAAATCTTTCCTAAGAATCCTTCCATCATGCAAAGTTTTATTTTCTCTTTGTAAAATTTTGCATTTCCATAAGATTCTTGTCTAATTTTTTTAAGTTCATTTAACAACAATAATCTTTTCTCACCAGCTTCTTTCATATTATAATTGAATTCCTTAACAAACCAATAAGCTTTATGTTCTAATTCTTCTGGTAAGTGACAAGTTTTGCCAAATATAACCCTATATAAAGACATGTTTATATGAGTTTTGTACACAGTCCTATAAGCCCAAAATGCTTCATCTAATCCCATAACTCAATCCTTCCTACTAGGATTGACAACTTTTTTCTAAAATTCTTTTGGTTTCTTTATTAGATACTTCTGCTAAATCACTTGTTTGAGGATGATAAGTTGTGACTATTTTTTGCTTAATTCCATATTTAGTAACTAATGCCTCAACTTTTATATTCCTAAAGTGGCTTTCCCCATCACTAATGATCACTCTAAGCATGTCAAATCTACTAAAAATATTCTTATTTAAGAATTTAGTTGTATTTTGAGCATTTCAATTTGGAAGAGCTACTACCTCAACCATTTTGAGACATGTCCATAGTTATTAAAATATATATAAATTTTCTAATTATGGTATATAGAGACCCATAAAATCTAAACCCCAAACATAAAAAATCTCAATCTTCAAAGTAAAATTTAGGGGCCTTTCATCTCACCTAGAAATAATGCCCACTCTCTGACATATAACATAAATTTTAATATATAATTTCAAATCTCTAAATAGTGTAGGCCAATAAAATCAAGATTGTAAAATCTTATAGACAGTACTATTAACTCTAAAATGTCCCCCAAATTTTGAATCATGATAGTTAATAATTTCTAGGGTTTTTTATAGGCACACATATTCTTATCACCTAATCCTTACATTTTCTATAAAGTTATGGGTCATCCTAAAAGTAATTTCTGGTGTCATGTATGAATTTCTTCCGTTGATGATATGTTATGCCATAGATCATAATATCACTAACTATAAAATTTACTATGTCGACATACCATGAAATGTGCCACTCAGTAATAGCAAAC